AAGTTGTTGCAACTGACACATGGGGACTCAGAAAGAGAGTTCCACTCAGATACTGAGAGTGTACAGTGAGCCACTGCTAGGTCATCCAAGGGGTCATCAGGGACTCTGTCTCAGGCTGAAAGGCTGTCCTGTCCTCAGCGTAGCTGAAGAATAAATCTCTCCATTTGACAGTTCTTAATTTCACTCACACTATTTATTTTGTATTTAAATTTGTTTGTTTATTTGTTTGAGACAGGGCTTCTCTGTTGCTTTGGAGCTGTCCTGGAACTCCCTCAGTAGATCAGACTGGCCTGGAACTCACAGAGACCCACCTGCCCCTACATCCTGAGTGCTGGGACTAAAGCGTGCGCCACCACCCTGGGCTCCGGTTTATTCAAACAGTACTGAAGGCCTTGAACATGCTACTATACTCTACCATTCAGCTATATCCCAGACCATAATCCAAGGCCTTCCATTATGCTATTTTTTTTGACAGGGTCTTGTTATACAGCCATGGTTGATCTAGAAATGTATTCCATTCTGACCTTGAGCTTTCGGCAATCTACCCTAGTTAGCATTCTTAGTGCTGCAAACACAGGCATATGCCACTATGCTCAGCCACTATGCTCAGCTTTGACTTGTTTTTAGCATACTCTGCTTTCAAACTGCCTATTTATCTGAGGATAACCTTGAGCTTCTGATCCTCCTGCCTCCACCTCTCAAGTGCTGGAGCAATAGCCCTGCACCACCATGCCTAGTTTAGTCTAAAGACTTTTGAACAAATCTAAATAAGAGTGAAAAGTTTAAGGCTGCAGTGGCAGGGTCATAGCTACATGTCAGGAGAGAGGCCTAGACTGACTCACTGCAGCCTCAGGAAGGCCATGAAGCTCCGGGTCTGAAACAAAAGCAGGTAAAATGAGGACAGACCGTGGTTATTTCCCTACCCCCATGCCTGCCAGAGTTACTGTGTGACTTCCAGTAAGAGAGGGATTCCATTCCAGTTCCCTGTGGGGAACCTAGGGAGGCAGAGAAATGAGCAGCAGCCATCAGGGAAGACAGACTTGGGTGGGGAAAGCGGCCCCAGGTCCCACTCTGACCTCTGCAGGCATGATAAGCGAGTGCCAGGCCCCTGCTCTGATAGTATGGTCAGCTTATCAGGGAGCCCAGGCTATCTCACCTAAGCCCAAGCCCTGTTCTAGTCCCACACCCTGATCACAGAAGATCCCACCCATAGTTAGAGGCCACAGCCACAGAATCTCTGGCTGGCAAAGATATCTCTGTTCTCTACTTCCAGGACTCCTCAGGGCTCTCAAATTCACCCTGGGACTGGGTCTCAGTACTGGGGTGGGTGTCATGAAGCTTGGCCCTTATGTAGGAAGTCTTCACTCTGAAGAGAAGCTTGGCTGTCTGTGGGTCCTAGAGTAGAGGTGGCTTTAGGAGGGTTATAAGAAAGGAAAGGGGGTCACAGGGAGGCAGGAGCTAACATGGCTAAAGCACCTGTGGAGACATTTTCTTACCTCTGTATTTCAGTTGATTTTCAGTGTGGTGGAGCACATAGCAGCCTTGAAGCTCGGAGAAGAGCAATTTGCCACCAGCCACATAGCTAGTGAGACAAAGGAGAAGGAAGCAGACTGCAGCATCCCAGTGTGCTGGTCCTCAGTCACCACAGAAGTGGGCATCAAAAGCTCCCTCATTACCATTGAGATTGAATTTGGTCCTAAATCCTGGATCTACAGGCATTTTCCTGTGACTGTCACTCAGGGTCTATCACTGCTAAAGCTGGGCAGTCTCAGTTCCAAAGTGTTTTCAAGTATAATCCATGGGAGCCAGGGATGGAGGCAAGTGAGAGCAGATCAAATTACATAGGGAATTCCAGGACAGACTTAAGATAGACAGAAAGGAAGAAAGAAAAGAAAAGAAAAGGAAAGAAATGAAGGGAGGGATTTCAGATGCCTTCCCTGTGATCTTCTGCGAGTCCTCTCGCAGAAGGTATTGGTATTGCATGCCTTTAATCCCAGGAAGGAGCAGAGCAGACTTGGGTATTACTTATTTGAACTCTTGTGCTGTGTTAAAGTACTTTATCAAAGTGGGCCTGGAGCAAAGGCCTGTAATTCCAGTTACTTGGGAGGCTGAGGCAGGAGGATTGAAAAAATCTAAGTGCCAGGCTTTCACTGTGTCTTGGGCTCTGAACTATACAATGAGTTTAAATGATAGTCTGGGCAACTCTAAATAGAAAGAAGAGGGGTAGAGGATTAGAGACAGTGCTTGCCTTGCATACATAAGGTTCTGGGTCCATTTCTCGGTACTGAATGAACCTGGCATAATGAATGCCTGCTGCCCTTGCACTCAGTAGTTAGAGACAGGAGTCTCAGAAGTTCAGTGTCATCCTCAGTCACAAATGGAATTTCAGGACACATGACACTCTATTTCAATAATAATAAGACCAAGGCAGTATAGAGCATGCCTTTAACCCAAACACTCAGGAGGCAGAGCTGGCAGACCTCTGAGCTTCAGGGCAGCCTGGTCTATAGAGAGTTCCAGGCCAGTCAGGACAACATAATGAGACCCTGTCTCAAAAAACAAATGTGAGATGGGTGTAATGGTGCACGTCTTTAATCCCAGCACTCAGGAGGCAGAGGCAGGCAGATCTCTGTGAATTCAAGGACAGCTTGGTCTACAAAGAGAGTTCCAGGATAGCCAGGGCTATTACACAGAGAAACCCTGTCTTGAAAAACAAAGCAAACAAAGAAACCGCCAAACAACAATAAAATCAGGAGCCAGGTATTGCATGCCTTTAATCCCAGCACCTTAGGAAGAGAGGCAGGTAGATTTCTGTGAGTTCATGGCCAGCCTGGTCTATATAGTTTCACGCCAGTCAGGACTATACAGTAAGACCCTGTCTCAAAACAAACAACAAAAGAACAAGAACAAAAAAAGCATTGTCATCCATACCTACATAAGACCCTGTCTAAAAAATTAAATTAAGAAGCCAGGCAGTGGTGGAGCACGCCTTTAATCCAGGCACTCAGGAGGCAGAGGCAGAGGCAGAGGCAGGTGGATCTCTGTGATCTCTCGAGGTCAGCTTGGTCTACAGAGAGAGTTCCAGGACAGCCTCCAAAGCTACAGAAAAACCCTGTCTCAGAATTAATTAATTAAATAAATAAAAATGAATAGACAGCTGGGCAGTGGTGGTGCATGCCTTTAATCCTAGCACTCAGGAGGCAGAGGCAGACAGATCTCTGAGTTCAAGGCCAGCCTGGTCTACAAAGCAAGTTTCAGGACAGCTAGAGCTGTTACACAAAGAAACTTTGTCTAGAATAGACAGAGGTGTCCCTGTACTGTAACACAGACCTGAAGAGAAACTAGTGCTAAACAGATGAGGGAAGCATGCATAGCAGAGGTAGGGCACATGCCTGTTCCTTGGTAGGAAACAGAACACCTCCAAAAACCCAAATGGTTAGGTCTCTCCTTCCGCCCCACCCCCACCCCATCCTGCACCTGCAAAGGAGGATAGAGACCAGACTGTCTAGGATAAGAAAAGGGGGCGGAACATCCCCCAGAATGAGGGTCTAAATAGCAGAGGCTCAGCTGTGGGGAGTGTCTCACCAGAAGTCTCCCCTTCCCCACAGGGAGAGACTCAAATAGTGCCAGGCTTTCACTGTGTCTTGGGCTCTGAAGAATTGACCCCTAGGCTCTTACCCTGGCTCCCACAAGAGCTGGGGCCTCAGGTGCTCTTCAGTCTTCCAGCAGAGTAACACTCACCCAGGGGATCTTGCCAGAATAGTGGCTAACAAGTTTTGACTTTGCTCATCTAGTTCTAGCTTCTTGGGCTCAGCAAAAATAGTTAAATTCTAGGAATGGAAATTTAGGCTGAAGGGTCCACTGAGTTTGCTCCCAGATAGATTCTTTATAGATCCAGCTGCCAGGACCCTCCCTGTCCTACACAAATTCAACAAACATTCCCAACCATCACCCAGAAAACAAGGCCTTTCAGCAGGGCTCCAACAGACACCTAAGCCCTATAGAATGCACGGGGTGAGGATTTTTCAACTTCCTAGAGTACGTAGGTAATCAGCTTCATGGGGTGTGGGGGGGTGGAAGGCACCCATTTAAAAGAATGCAGACAGCTGGGCAGTGGTGGTGCACACACACATAATCCCAGCATTCATTGGGAAGGCAGAGGCAAGTGGATCTCTAGAGCAGTTCGAGGCCAGCCTCTGTCTACAAACTGAGTTCCACTCCATGACAGCCAGAACTGTCTTGAAAAACAAACAAAATAATAAAAACAAATAAAAGAATGGCGGCAGGGTGGAGGTGTAGTTCCAGTGAGTTAGCATGCATTGGAACCTAAGTTTCAGCCCCAGCACAAAAAAGAAACAGATAACAAACAAACCCAACAAATTAAACAACAAAAAGGGAAAGGAACACGTGAAGCCAGCAGGGGAAGAGTTAAGAAGTAGAGACTTCTAGAGCCCGGGAAAAGTACTCCACCCAGGGGAGGAGCCAGAAGGTTAAAAGCCAGCTGCTTGAGCAAGAAGGGAGGAGACAGGCTGTTCCTGTCCAAAGGCTTCCCAGACTGCAGCTCCAGCTCCAGGTAAGCACTCCTTGGAGTGGCTGTCAGCCTGCTTAGAGGTCTGCCCAGAGGGAGCCTTCTGCCTCATTGCTTTTTCTGGCTGTGACTCTGCATCCTGAAGAGATCTGAGTAAAGCCACCTGGGTTACCCTGAACCACAGAATCAAGGAGATGCTGCTCTGGGAGGGAGTGGAAGAGCAAGGAGGTATGTTTGTGTCCAGCCTTGACGGATCCTGCCCAATGCCCTGGCTCTCCATATCCACAGCTCTCTCGTCAGGGCCCTGGCTGGGATATCATCATATACTGTAAGTTTGTGATGAGACACTACAGTATAGATGATGTACTAGTCTGGGTACCCGCAGATCTAAAGCCTGCCTGGGAGGGCAGGAGAATGCTGAAGTCCATGGGGCTCACTGCTCAGCCTATCAAGCCTGCTGACTGCTGTGGCACTTGGGGATGGCGAGGAAACCGTTACCATTACTGAGTTTAGTAATGGTAACGGTTCTCTTGCTGCTCCCAAAAACTGTGCCAAGAAGAGCTCATGACCCTGGAGCAGACTCCTGGAAGAAAAAGAGACCACAGGTTGACAAGAGAATGGGGGTAGGGGAATGGGTGCATTTTTCTCTTCTCTGTTCCAAAGAAATAAAGATAAGAATAAGAATACTTGTCATTTAATTTTATTAGCATCCAAGGTTGGGTAGCAGGATGGGGTGGGAGGGATCAAGGACTTGGGTGAACAGGTGGTTGGCACTATCTCATTTAAGAAACACAGGTTTAGCTAGGAGGTAGTGGTGTACACCTTTAATCCCAGCACTCAGGACACAGAGGCAGGTGGATCTTTTTGAGTTTGAGGCCAGCCTAGTCTACAGAGTGAGTTCCAGGACAGCCAAGGTTACACAGAGAAACCCTATCTCAAAAAAAAAAAAAAAAAGAAAGAAACACAGGTTGCCCTGTGGGATGGTGCACGCCTTTAATCCCAGCACTCGGGAGGCAGAGGCAGGTGGATCTCTGTGAGTTTGAGGCCTGTCTGGGCTCCAGAGAGAGTGCCAGTACAGGCTCCAAAGCTACAGAGAAACCCTGTCTCAAAAAACCAAAAAAAAAAAAAAAAAAAAAAAAAAGGAAGGAAGGAAGAAAAAGAAAGACAGATCCTTATGTACTTATGTAACTTCAAGGTGAGGAACTTGGGGTCACAGAGAAAAACTTTCTTCCTACACCTGGGTGCTCAAAGCAAGAGTGGGTCCAATGCTAGCAGGGGAGGAATGAGCCTATTCACACCAGGGAGACAGAGGTCTAAGACCTGCATAGCTGAGACCCTACCTGAAAACTGAACTAAGGCGGCTTCTTTCCTCCAGTGGAAAACATGGTTGGGCAGGCACTGTGCAGACTCAACAAGGCCAGGCCAACAGCCACCCAGTGTCCACAGCCCTTACCAGGCCTAGAGGCCCCTTTCACAGGGGTAGTCCCAGTCAGTCACTGCTGCAGTTGAGCAGGGATGCTCTAGGAGTAGCATCAGAAGATGGTCATTTGAGAAGTTTCACAGAGAGGCGGATGCAAACGTCACAGAGGAAGATGTCCATGAGGTCTTGGCCCACTTCCTGTGCAATCTGGGAGATCAAGAGGCCCTTCTGACCAATCAGGATCCGCTGCAAGTGGTGAAAAGTAGCACATGGTTCTGCACCCTGGCCTCACAGATTGGGGGGGTCACCACTAGTTAATACTGCTGCTGCCCTTCTCTGAGCCTGCCCTCACTTACCACATAAGATTCTTTGGGCACCAGAAGATTCTGTTGGATCACTAGCTCCCCACTTGGTCCTTCCTCCCATATCACTGTCTTCTGTATAAGGAGACATCATGACTAGTCAGGCAGGCTCATCTCTATATCCTGTGGTACCCAACTGTTCCAGGTGTGTGCCTGGTATATAGGCCCTGGGTCCTTTCACTCTGTCCACACCTGCTGCACATTGTAGGGCACCTCCTCAGGCAGGTACTCTAGGAGCTTCTCTCGGATTTTATTGGCACAGATCTCTTCAGGTGTCTGGCTAGTGAGGACTCCACTGTGGAACTCCCAGGGTCCTGGCTGGGCTTGTGCCAGAAGGTATTGCTGTGGGCAAAAAGGAAGAGTGGGATCTTAACTCCCATCAGCGCTCCCCTATTTATGTGGTTATGCGTGCTTTTTGGTATGTATCCCCCAAGCTGACCTTAAAATTGCTATGTAGTAGCAAAGGCTGTTAAACTCTTGATCCTACTTTAGCCTGACAAGCCCTGGGACTAAACAAGTGAGCTACCATAACTGAGTGTAATGCCCCTTTTTTAAAAAAACAGGGTTTCATGCAGATCAAGCTGGCCTTTTACACCCTAATTTGTTCAGGCTGGTCTTGAACTTCCAACCTTCCTGTCTCCGCCTCCTAGATGCTAGAATTAGACACGTGCACCACCATGTCCAATTTATATGGTGCTAGAGATTGAATTCAGCACCTCTCACACATCAGGCAACCATTCTACCAAGATACATTCCTGTTTATTTTTGGTCTCCTTATGCAGCCTGGCTGGCCTACAACTCATAATGGAGACCAGGTTAGCCTCAAACTGAGTAATCCTTCTGTCTCTACCTCCTGAGTGCTGGGATAACAGGTGTGAGCCACCACAGATAGCTGATTTTGGTTTCCTGAGACAGGATCTCATTGTAACTGAAGTTCCTCTTGAATTCACTGCCTGGTTGAAAATGACCTTGAACTCCTGATCTTCCTGACTTGTCCTCCCAAGTGCTGGGATTACAAATCTAAATTACCATAGCCAGATTATTGTTTTGTCTTCTAGTCAGGTTGGTCTGAGTGAGGCCTAACTGAACATGGCAGAAATGATGAGCTATGGGTAAGGCTAACTGACCTTTAGTGTGTTCACATCCTTGTTGTTTAGTGCTGACAACATGAAGATCTCCTGGAAGTTGGGCCAGCCAATTCTCCGAGGGTTTCTCACTGAGTGTGTATTTGGGTCCTTTGCTGCAGGGCTGGGGCAGTGGGTGCCAAGGCGTGAGTGCGAGGCCTGCTTGATATTGAGCTTCTTACCATTGACCACACCTTCAGTGAGGGTGGCTGTCAGTTCCAGGAGAACTGACTTCTGCTTGAGGCAATCTACCTGGACACAGGGATGAGCAAAGCGAATGGTCAGAGAGATGGGACCTTAGAGGAAGCTCTTCCTCGGGTGGGCAGCACTCACCTTGTTTAGGACAAGGATGCTAGGGACCTGGGAGAAGCGGGCCAAGCACTGCAGCACCTGAGGGCTCAGCTGGCCCCTGGTCCACTTGTCTGACACATCCACAAGAACTACAACTAGAAAACACAGGGCAGACAAAACAAGGCTATGACCCTCCTGATCCACAGACCCCATTTCCCAAACTCCCAGGAATGAAGGTTCTGTAAACAGGACTTTAGATATTTAGTTTGAGCCTAACCCAGATCAGCAGATTCCATGCTCTTCCATGGATCTTCCAACAAAGACAGCTCCAGATGGTGTCTAAAGGATAAGAGAACCAGTCATGAAGGGTCCGATGACTGATCTGATCTTACGAGGAATGGGTGGAATAGGAAAACTTCCAGTTCCTGGGAAGGAATATCCCCTCCTCTTTTTCATCACCCCCCACCCCCACCCCACCCATCTGTTCCCACAGTTAATACCTCTTCTGTTTAACAGGACTGATGATGCCAGGTGTGTCAAGCAGAATCTAAAATCAGGAGAGATACCAACACCCACCCCCCAAAGGAAGATTTTTTAATGGATTAGTCGGGAGAAAGGCCACACACAACCCTAATTTAGATTCTAGGATTCAACTCAGGGCTACACACACACACACACACACACACACACACACACACACACACCCACACCCACACCCACACACACACACACACACACACACACACACACACGTTTTCTCTGTGTAACAGCCCCTAGCTGTCCTGGAACTCACTTTGTAGACCAGGCTGGCTTTGAACTCACTGAGATCTGCCTGCCTCCCCAGTGCTGGGACTAAAGGTGTGCACCACCACACATAGCTAGAGAAAGGCCATCTTTGATAATAGCATCTTGCCTTTCCTTCATGGGCAAGCTATTACTGACTTTGTTTTTTTTTTTTTTTTTGCTTTTTTTCTCTCTATCGTTCCGCATTGTCTTATTGTTACATGGGACCCTCCAAAAAGAGGATAACTAAGAGTAAATGATGTGGATGGTGATGTGTTGATGGAGATGTGGCTCATCAGCAGAATTCTGGGATAGTACCCAAGAAGTCCTGGGCTGGATCCCCAGCACTGCACAAAACAAAAACACAAAACCAGAGTTCAATGTTGAATTATGCTTTGTTCAGTCAGGTGAGGTGTCACACTCCTATAATCCCAGCATTTAGGAGGCAGAGGCAAGAGGTTCATTTCAAGTTTAAGGGCAGATTTGCCTACAAATTGAGTCCAGTGCCAGTCAGGGCTACATGGTAAGATGCTGTTATCCTAAAGGGAAAAACAGGAAGATACAGGGCATGGTGGTATCCCCTGTATCCCAGCATTTGGGAGCTGGAGCAGGCAGGAAGATAATAAATTCAAGGTAATCTCTGGATGGGTCAGTGGGTAAAGGCACATGCATCCAAGCTTGACAACCTAATTTGGTGCTGAGGACTCACAGGGTGGAAAAAGAAAAGTGACTCCTAAAAGTTGCCCTCTGACCTCCATGTAAGCACCATGTACATGAACACCCACACATAAAAATAACTTCTGAAGAGACAGCAAAAGAGGGAAGGGAGAAGAAGAACTATATGGAGCCTTAAGAAAGGGGCAGTGGTGGTGCACACCTTTAGTCCCAGCACTTGGGAGACAGAGGCAAGCGGATTTCTGTGAGTTCAAGGCCAGCCTGGTCTACAGAATGAGTTCCCTACAGAGTGGCTAGGGATACTACACAGAGAAACGCTGTCTGCAAAAGAAGGACTAGAACAAAAAAAAGGGGGGGAGGGATCCTTTATGCATTCTTTTTTCTTTTCTTTGTTGGTGTTTTTTGTTTTTGAGACAAGAGTTTCTCTCTATAGCCCTGGCTTTCCTGGAACTCCTTTGTAGATCAGGCTGGCCTTGAACTCAATAGATCCATATGACTCTGCCTTTGAAGTGCTGGGATTAGAGGCATGCGACACCACCACAGCCCTAGATTGTGATTTTAAAAGGCTAATGGCAAGAGAACTGCTTAGCTTCACACTCTATCCTGTTTGCAGAACTTCTGCAGGTACCTACCACCTGGGCCTCCTTCTCTGTGATGACCCCTAGAGCTTGGCAGCGAGTGGTATGCACCTTCTTGGAGACAGGAAACACCTTCCAGGAAGAAAGAGGTATCAGTGAGATCCTAGATCCCTCCCAGGCCATCCACCCAGGCAAAGCAAATAGTGAATGAAAAAACAAAAAGATAAAGTGGGGTTTAGGGGGACTGGAGAGATGGTTCAGTGGTTAACAGAACTGACTGCTCTTCCAGAGGACCTGGGTTCAATTCCCAGCACCCACGTGGTAGCTCACAACTGTTTGTGATGCCAGTTTCACAGAATCCAATATGCCTTCAGGCACACACATGGTACACAGACATATATGCAGGCAAAACACCCATACACTTAAAATAGTGAAATGTGTAAAAAGGGAGGCATAGGGGTTGGGACGCTAAAAGTGTGGCATACTTTGCGGCCCAGCAGCTGATTGGAGAGTGTTGACTTTCCTGCATTTGGGGCTCCCAGGAGGACCACTCGGAGGACCCGTGAATTCTCAGGCATGTCAGGAGTATGGACCAAGAGCAGATTCTGGTCATCTGTGTTAGGATGGGAACAGCAATGATATTGGAATCTAGATTCTATTAGATACTCAGCTCTGATACCCAAGGAGGAAATCAAGATAAAAGGTTAACACACCAGGCTGAAGCCACCCATTCCTAACTTTGACACTAGTTTGACATTTAATTTTATTTGATTTCTCAGGTTATCTAACCTCTCTACCCCCCCCACCATTTTTTCATATTTAATGTGGTATCACATTAACATTATCTATGAATAACTTCTTTTTCACAATGACAACTGTGTAAAATAATTGTTCAACATAGGTTGGGCACTGTGATACTCACACACTTGTAATCACAACCCTTGAGAAGTTTAAGCAATAGTGGATTACTTGGGCTGGAGAGATGACTCAGTGGTTAAGAGCACTGGCTGCTCTTTTAAGAGGACCTGGGCTCAATTCTCAGCAACCACATGGTAGCTCACAACTGCATCTATAGTGGGATCTGATACCCCGAGACCATCTTCTGGCATAAAGGCATACATGCAGACAGTGCACACCAAATAAATAAATAAATCTTGTTTGTTTTTTTTTCTTTAAAGTGGGTTACTTTTGAGTCCCAGGCCAGCCTGGGCTACATAACTAGACCCTGTCTCAAAAACCAAAACAACCTCACTAAATTACAAAGGGGAAACAGCACTTTATAAAAAGGATACGGCTGGGCCGGTGTCGGTGGCGCACGCCTTTAGTTCCAGCACTCGGAATGCAGAGGCAGGCGGATCTCTGTGAGTTCGAGACCAGCCTGGTCTACAAGAGCTAGTTCCAGGACAGCCTCCAAAGCCTCAGAGAAACCCTGTCTCGAAAAACAAAAACAAACAAAGGATATGGCTGAGCAGTGGGGGCGGCTCATACTTTTAATCCCAGCACTTGGGAAGCACATCTGCGAGTCTGAGTTCGAGGTCACTCTGTAGAGTGAGTTCCTCGACAACCAAGGCTACACAGAGAAACCCTGTGTCCAAACAACAAAAGAAAGCCGGGCGGCGGTGGCACATCCTCATTCTCAAATTCTTCAACACCCGTCATTACTCGTCTCTGTTTGGACTCAGATTTATTTTCTATGAAACGAGAGAGGCGAAAATGATATCCCCAGAGACAGATTTTACCTAAGATACACGACTTCCACTGCTAAAACCATCAGGGGCTGGTCAAGGCTAACACCTGTAATCTCGGCACTCCAGAATCTGTAGCGGGAAGATCCGAGTTCCAAGCCAGTTTGGGCCTCACAGGGAGGCAGACCTGTCCCCAAAGAGAACACCCGCAACCAACATAACGGAGCCCTTTACCTCTGTGCACCGACACCGCGGGGACGCTCGGAGCCAACGAACTGTCAGGCTGAGGGAATCCAAGGATACGGTCCAAGGCGGAGTCCTGACCATAACGACTGGAGGCGGAGGCCAGGAGCGGACCAGAGGAAGCGGAGCCCACGACACCACAGGACACGCACCTCACCTGGTTACCTAGAAGCAAGCCGGGCGGAGCCTCCCACTCCCTCGCAGCACGCGGGCCCAGCTGCCAGGCCCCCAACAAGGACCGAACTAGGCGAGCGCAGCGTAGCCTGGGGGCAGCCATGTTGCCGCAAAGCACTCTGGTACCACCCAGAAGCGCGCTGCGATTGGACGGTGAGGCCCACAGGCCAACGAGTAAAGAAAGCTAGAGCCGCCCAAACATAGCGGAGTCAGCCGGGATGTCCAGGGAGGGGTAGGTCAAGACTATTTGCAGAGGGTGACAGAGGCTAAGGAAAGGCAAAAACGTGATGTATTTATTGTCTGCGTGAGTATAACGATCGTCTCGGACTCCCATACCATCGTTTCTCCTTTTGCCAGAGATTTGTAAACAGCTTTTTTAGTTCTGTCTTCTGATTGGCTACATTCCCCGAGAATCCAAGCCGCTAAAAATGAGCATGGGAAAAGGGCTCTAGGCCGCATTTCACGGGAAAGTTTTGGAGCCTATCCCGGCACTCGCTCTGGAGACCAGGCTGGCCTCGAAGTCACAGAGAGATCCGCCTGTCTCTGCATCCCGAGTGCTGGGATTAAAGGCATACTCTTGAAACTGTAAGATAAATCTTTCAGGGGTTGGAAAGATATGAATGTATTAAGCATCTATCACATAGAAGCACTGCAGGGTGCTGGGGATACATCAACTAAAGAAATGGACAGATATTCCTATTGTGAGATTCACATCTAGATAGAGGTCCTGAGTAGTCTGTCTGTCTGTCTGTCTGTCTGTCTGTCTGTCTGTCTGTCTGTCTGTCTGTCTGTCTGTCTGTCTGTCTGTCTGTCTGTCTGTCTGTCTGTCTGTCTGTCTGTCTGTCTGTCTGTCTGTCTGTCTGTCTGTCTGTCTGTCTGTCTGTCTGTCTGTCTGTCTGACAGGAAGTTGAAAGGAAGTTGAAATGCTTTGGTGAAAACCTAAATGAAATGAATTTAAGAGACAATGCAATTGGAGCTGGAATAGAGCTAGGTATGGTGGCTGGTTCACACTTAAAATTCTAGCACTTGGGAATCTGGGACAGGAGGGGTTCTGTGAGTTCAAGGGAATCCTGGACTACATAAGTGAGTGGAACACTATGCAAAAAAGGAGGGAAAACAGTCCCCTCCCTGAAAACCCACAAACCAATAGGCTGGGAATGTGGCTCAGCTGGTAGAGTATTTGTCTATACAGCACAAAACCCTTGGTTAGATCCCAGCACCACGTAACACAGGGTATGCTGGAACATATCCCTAACACAGCACTCAGGAAATGGAGGCAGGAGAATAAGACTTTCTAGGTCGAGTTCAGCTACAAAGTAAGTTTAAGGCCAGCCTGGGATACTTGAAACCATAACTTTATGTTTTTGTTGTCCTTGTTGTTTGTATTTTCAAGGTATGTTTTTTTCTGTGTAACAGTTCTGTTGTCCTGGAATTTCCCCTGTAGATCAGGCAGGCCTCAAACTCACAGAGGTCCACCTGCCTCTGCCTTCTGAATGCTAGATTAACGGCATGTGCCACCACCACCCAGCATGATTCTACCTTTAAAAAATGAGCTGGGCAGATTATACTTATAATTTCGATTTCAATGCTCAGGAGGCTAAGATAGGAGGGTCACCTTGAGTTTAATGCCAGCCTGGGCTGCATAGTGAGTGCTAACTCATCTTGGGCTACCTAGTGAAACTGAACATCCCTCAACACCACACACACACTCACACAAAACATTTTTATTTGCTGATGACAATAACTCAGTATAAATAGAAAAAGCCCATGATACAGGATAGAATTTTGGATGTGGGGTGGGGTGGTGGTGGTGATGGTGCACGCCTTTAGTTCCAGCACTAGGGAGGCAGAGGCAGGCGGATCTCTGTGAGTTCGAGGCCAGTCTGGTCTCCAGAGAGAGTGGCTAGGACAGGCTCCAAAGCTACACAGAGAAACCCTGTCTCGAAAAACAAAACAAAAGAAAAGAAAAAAGAAAAACATGAATCTTCTTTAATTGGCTGGTAGGTGAAATACTATCACAACTGCTATTAGAGTAAAGGACAAAGTTCAGGTCAAAAGATAGTAAGTAGTTGGGTGTGATGGTGTATTCCTGCTATATCAGAAATCTAGACACTGAAGCAAAGGTTTCTGCAAGTTTGAGGACATCCTGAGCTACACATCAATTGTCAGGCTGAGACTCTGTCCCTCAATCTCCAAGAATAGATGAATTACAGAATGCAAAGTCAGCCAAAGAACACATAGTAAATACTTCTGTGCTAACAGATAAGACTACAGAAGAATCCTAGGAATGACAAAGTTTTAAGTTAAATGAGTCAGTGTCTAAGTGATTATTTTTAATATTTATATTCTTTGTTTATTTTTTTAGGATTTTATTTATTTATAATGTACACAACATTCTGCTTCCATGTATATCTGCACACCAGAAGAGGGCACCAGATCTCATAATAGATGGTTGTGAGCCACCATGTGGTTGCTGGGAATTGAACTCAGAACCTCTGGAAGAGCAATCAGTGCTCTTAACCTCTGAGCCATCTCTCCAGCCCCTTGTTTATTATTTTTTTCCAAGACAGTGTCTCTCTATATAGCCCTGGCTGGCTTGGAACTTCTGCCTTCTCCCGAGTGCTGGGGTTAAGGTCATGTGCCACCATGCTCAGCTTGTATTTATTTTAGTTTAATTTGGTACATGTGCCACATGTATCCACAGAGGCCAAAGGTGTTCAGTCTCCTGGAGCTAGTTACAGACACTTGTGAGCTTCCTGATGTGGGTGCTGGGAATTGAACACGGTTCCTTCTGAAAGAAATACATGCTCTGAACTCTAAACCATCCTTCTAGCCTGTGCTTTTGTTATTTCTTTTTCAGTGCTGGGGACTCAATGCAGGTTTCTCAGATATTATACCAATATTTTCCCACTGAGTTACGTATCCAAACAGTTCCCTTTTTTCCTTTTCCTCTCTTCAATTTCTTTCTTTCTTTTTGAGATAAGGTCTTGATATATCATCCAGATTGACCTGGAACTCACCATGTAGTCCAGGCTAGCCTCAAATTTGCAGAGATCCTCCTGTCTCTGTCCCCTGAGTGTTGGAATTATAGATATATATCAGTGTTAGCCATGGCTAGATCATTTTCTACAGCTCTTCCATTTTGGTTGAACTGTGACAACTCCAGTAACTCCAATAATTTGGTTTCTAGAAGTAAATTAACTTGTTTTGATAGATTCTGCTAGTTTCTTGATTGCCCTGGCCACAGATACCAAGTAAAGGACAGACAGAAACGATATTTATTGATGACCTAATATTCTTTTACTGACTACTTACTGAGTCAGGCATTGTGCTACATGCCTTATTACAAGGCCGGTGGATCTATGAGTTTCAAGGCTAGCCTGGTCTACATGGCTAATTCCAGGTCAGCCAAAGCTACCTGGCGAGACCTTGTCTCAAAACAAAACAAAACACCTTACTCACTGATTACCTAGCAATGGCTAACTGATGCCATAAAGGGAGATCTCTTTCCTACACCTAACCTTTCTTCCTCATAACTACCTCAACTTGTAAGTGGGGAGCAGACTCCAGCTCTGATTTTTTTTTTTTTTGAGACAGGGTTTCTCTGTGGCTTTGGAGGCTGTCCTGGAACTAGCTCTTGTATACCAGGCTGGTTTCCAACTCACAGAGATCCACCTGCCTCTGCCTCCCTAGTGCTGGGATTAAAGGCATGCACCACCACCGCTCAGCAGGCCTATTCTGTCTTGTTTCCCTCCTTCCCTTTGCTATTTTTCCTTCTCACTGACCGTATGTCTGTGTGAGGGCGTCAGATTCCTTGTAACTGGAATTATAGACAATTGTTAGCTGCCATTTGGGTGCTAAGAATTGATCCGGGGTCCTCTGGAAGAGCAGTCAGTGCTCTTAACCAATTAGCCATATCTCTAGCCCCCAGCTATTGTTTTTGAGACAGGATATCCTGAGCTGGAGAGATGGCTCAGCTGCTAAATGCTAGGCTCACAACCAAAACTATATGAGACAGGATATCCCAAGCTGGTCTTTATAGTCACTATGTTGCTAAAGCTGACTTTGAACTACTGATCCTTCTGCTTCTACTTCCAAGTGCAGGCATTACAGTCCTATACTATGTCTGGTTTGTTTGGTGCTGGGGACAGAACTAGGACTTCATGAAGGCAAGGCAAATGGTTTACCCTCAGAGTTACATTTTTAGCTAATGAGTTTTCCTTCTCTCTCTCTCTCTCTCTCTCTCTCTCTCTCCCTCTCTCTCTCTTTCTTTCCTTCTTTCTTTCTTTCTTTCTTTCTTTCTTTCTTTCTTTCTTTTTCTTTCCTTTTTTTTTTAAATAAAGAGTTCCAGGTAGGGCTGGTACTTGGGAGGCAGAGGCAGAGGCAGAGGCAGACAGACCTCGAATTGGAGGACAGCCTGTTCAACAGAAAAGATTTCAAGAGATATGTATGTCCCTTATATCCTGGTTGACCTATAAACTGATTATAAAGGCATAAATCCTACGTTTGATTTTTAGCTTGTTTATTTATATTTATTGTATATTTATTATTTTATAATGGTCTTGAACTTGCTATATCGATAAAGATGACCTTGAATTGTGGGTTTTCTTGCCTCTACCTCAGGCTTCACTTTTCTGTTTTTGGTTTTTTCCAGACAGGGGTTTCTCTGTATTGCTTTGGAACCTGTCCTAGAACTTGCTCTGTAGACCAGGTTGGCAAGAAATACCTCTTAATTCAGTTTACTCTTCTATAAGATGAGGATAATGGGAGCTGGAAAGATGGTTCAGTGGTTAAGAGCACTGATTGCTCTTGCTGAGGAGCTGGGTTCAATTCCCAGAACATACATGGCAGCTCACACCCATCTGTAACTTCAAGATCTGACATACCCATGTAGACATAAATGCAGGCATAACACCAAGGCAAATTTTAAAAGATGAGAATAATGATAGTACCTTCATAGCGTGATGATGATTAAGAGAATTGGTGTGCTCGTGCATACTTACCATTCTACTATGCAGAGGTGGGAGGACCACTCCTAAGTTTTAGTTCAGATGCTGGATGTTATTATTGTATGTCCCTTCCTGGACTGTAAATTCTATGAAGACTGAGTCTGTATGTAGTATTTACT